CTGGCTTTCAGAACACAAACCTCTTTTATTATGCGGTCCTCCTGGATCTGGAAAAACCATGACATTATTTAGTGCCCTTAGAAAATTACCAGACATGGAAGTTGTCGGTCTCAACTTTTCCAGTGCAACAACCCCTGAATTGATTTTAAAAACATTTGAACAATATTGTGAATATCGTAAGACTCCAACTGGAGTAATTTTATCCCCTATTGCCATTGGTCGCTGGATTGTGGTGTTTTGTGATGAAATCAATCTTCCTGCAGTTGATCAATATGGAACTCAACGTGTTATATCATTTTTAAGACAATTAATTGAATGTGGTGGCTATTGGAGAACATCAGATAAAGCATGGGTTAAATTGGAAAGAATACAATTTGTCGGAGCTTGTAACCCCCCAACAGATCCCGGACGTGTTCCATTAACTCATAGATACCTTCGTCATGCTCCTTTAGTGATGGTTGATTATCCTGGTGAAATTTCCCTTAATCAAATTTACGGAACATTTGCTCGTGCCATGTTAAAAGTTGTTCCTGCACTTCGAGCATATGCTGAACCGCTTACAGCTGCAATGGTTGAATTCTATCTTAAGTCCCAGAAACATTTTACTCCTGATATGCAAGCACATTACATTTATTCTCCTCGTGAATTGACCAGATGGATGCGAGGTATTTTTGAGGCAATTAAGCCTTTGGAATCCCTTTCTCTTGAAGGTTTGATTCGTATTTGGGCACATGAGGCTTTGCGATTATTCCAAGACCGTCTTGTTACCGAAGAAGAGAGAAAATGGACGGACGATAACATTGATGCCACTGCTATGAAACATTTCCCAAATTTGAACTCTTCCGAAGCTTTGAATCGACCAATTTTGTTCTCTAACTGGTTGTCCAAACATTATATCCCTGTTGAACGTGAAGAATTGCGTGATTACGTTAAAGCTCGTCTCAAAGTCTTTTATGAAGAAGAATTAGACGTCCCACTGGTCTTGTTTAATGATGTCTTAGATCATGTTCTTCGTATTGATCGTGTATTTAGACAAATGCAAGGACATTTACTTTTAATCGGTGTAAGTGGATCCGGTAAGACTACTTTGTCAAGATTTGTTGCTTGGATGAATGGATTGAGTGTCTTCCAAATTAAAGCACATAACAAGTATACTGGTGATGATTTCGATGAAGATTTAAGAACAGTATTAAGAAGGGCTGGCTGTAAAGGAGAAAAAATTTGCTTTGTAATGGATGAATCAAATGTATTAGACTCTGGTTTCTTGGAACGTATGAATACACTTCTTGCTAATGCAGAAGTTCCTGGATTATTCGAGGGTGATGAATATAATGCATTAATGACAAGTTGTAAGGAGGGTGCTCAAAGAGATGGGTTAATGTTAGATTCTCCTGAAGAATTATATAAATGGTTTACACAACAAGTAATGAAAAACTTGCACGTTGTATTTACAATGAATCCTCCAGAAGGTGGCCTTGCTTCTCGTGCCGCAACATCTCCTGCTCTTTTCAATCGTTGTGTTTTAGATTGGTTCGGTGATTGGTCAGATCAAGCTTTCTTCCAAGTGGGCATGGAATTCACCCAAAATTTGGACTTGGATCTTCAGACATATACACCTCCTGTCAACTTTCCTAGTGCGTATAGATTATTGCCACCGCAACCTTCACATCGTTCTGCCGTTGTAAATGCATTCGTTTTTGTTCATCAATCTCTTTACGAAATTAATGCAAAATTGAGCAAACGCCAAGGTCGTTATAATTATGTGACACCACGACACTATTTAGACTTTATTAACCATTATGTACGATTATTCAATGAGAAACGTGAAGATCTTGAGGAACAGCAGCGTCATTTGAACATTGGGTTAGATAAATTAAAAGAAACTGTTACTACTGTTGATCAACTTCGTAGTGATTTGGCTATAAAGAATGCAGCGCTTCAAGAAAAGGAGAAGGAAGCTAACGAAAAGTTTAATAAATTGGTTGAGGATCAACGCGAAGCTGAAGAACGTAAAAAAGCGTCAGAAGAACTTTCGATAGCCCTCGAAATTCAAACTAAACAAATTGAAGAACGTCGTGAAGTAGTAATGAATGATTTAGCTCAAGCTGAACCAGCTGTTGAGGACGCTAAAAAGAGTGTAAGAGGTATTACTAGACAACATCTTACAGAAGTGCGTTCAATGAATAACCCTCCTGAGGCTGTGAAAATGGCGATGACCTCAGTTTGTCTTTTGCTCGGTAAAAGGGCTGACAGTTGGCAACAATTGCAAGGAATCATCAGAAGTGACGACTTTATTAATAGCATTGTTCAATACGATACTAACAAATTGACCAAAAATGTGAGAGAAAAAATTAAATCAGAATATCTTAGCAAACCTACTTATAACTTCGAGCTTGTAAACAGAGCTAGTAAGGCATGTGGTCCTTTGGTTAAATGGGTAATCGCTCAAGTTAGTTATTCAGATATTTTGGATAGAGTTGGTCCAATGCGTAAAGAAATGGAGGACTTAAAAGAAGAACAAAAGAAAACTCAACAACGGGCTGAGAGTCTGCAGCAAATGATCAAAGATTTAGAAAATAAAATAAAAGTATATAAGGAAGAATATGCAGAATTAATTAAAGCTAAAGAAGCTATTAAAGATGATATGAACCAAGTTAAGAATAAAGTAGATAGAAGTATGACTCTACTTGCTAGTTTATCATCTGAAAAGGAAAGATGGTTGTCTGGTAGTCAAGCATTTGAAACGCAGATGGGAACAATTGTGGGTGATGTATTGCTTTCTGCAGCATTTCTCGCCTATGGTGGATATTTCGACCAGCAATATCGTGAAATATTACTTCAAAAATGGACAATCCATTTAGTCGACGCTAAAATTCAATATAAGCCAGAACTTTCGTTGACAGAATATTTGTCAACAGCAGATGATCGTCTTTCATGGCAAGCAAATTCTCTTCCGGCCGATGATTTATGTACTGAAAACGCCATCATGCTTAAGAGGTTCAACAGATATCCACTCATTATTGATCCATCTGGTCAAGCTTCTTCATTTTTAAAGAATGAATTTAAAAACAAAAAAATTACTATTACTAGTTTCTTAGATGATTCATTTATTAAGAACTTAGAAAGTGCTCTTCGTTTTGGTAATCCGTTACTTATTCAAGACGTTGAGCATCTTGACCCTATTTTAAATCCTGTTCTTAACAAAGAATTGCGCCGTACTGGTGGCCGTGTTTTAATAAGATTGGGAGGACAGGACATTGATTTCTCACCATCATTTACACTTTTCCTTTCAACCCGTGATCCTTCTGTAAATTTCCCTCCAGATGTGTGCAGTAGAGTAACATTCGTTAACTTTACTGTGACACGTAGCAGTTTGCAAAGTCAATGTCTTAATCAAGTCCTTAAAGTTGAAAGACCTGATACGGATCAGAAACGAACAGATTTAGTCAAACTTCAAGGTGAATTTAAACTGAGGTTGAGATATCTCGAAAAATCTCTCTTGCAGGCTTTAAATGAATCCAAAGGTAATATTTTGGATGATACTAAGATCTTAGATACATTGGAAAAATTGAAAAAAGAGGCTGCTGAAATTTCTCGAAAAGTTGAAGAAACTGACACTATTATGCAAGAAGTTGAACGAGTTACAGCACAATACACTCCTTTAGCTCAAGCTTGTAGCTCTGTTTTCTTTGTTATGGAGCAAATAAACATATTACATCACTTTTATCAATTCTCTCTTGAATATTTCTATGAAATATTCCAATATATCCTCCATGAAAACCCAAACCTCTCAAACATTACTGATGCCGATGAAAGATTGAGGATTATCGTCCGTGATCTTTTTAAAGTGACTTTCAAGCGTGTATCGCGAGCTTTGCTACATGAGGACTATGTTACATTCGCAATTTTACTAGCTCAAATTAAACTTCGTGGATCTCCTGGCCAAATTGATGAAGCTGAATACGACTTCATGCTAAGCGGTGGCGATGTCGTACCTGGATCAAGAGTTACAGCAAGAGAACTAGGATTACCTGATAATGTTTTTGATGGTGATCAACTTTGTAAAATAAAAGAATTCATGGCTCTTCAATGTTTCTCTAGACTCAACAGGGAGATTAATGATAATATTGATGAATGGGTGAAATTTATGAATCATGATTCGCCTGAGAAGCACGTACCTGAATGTTGGGATACTTCATTACCTGGTATGTTTAACTTTTAATTCATCTGTTTATAATCTATATATATACATTTGTTTTCTGTTTGTTTGCAAAACATGCTAACATTTTTTTTTTAAAAAAAACTTTATACAGAAACTGTTAAACAATTACGTAGAATATTGATTATCAAATGTTTCCGCCCTGATAGACTTATTCCTACAGTGTCCGAATTTGTATCTATTGCATTTGATCCAGGTTTCGCCTCTCAAACAGAATTGGACTTTAAGGCATTAGTGTTGAATGAAGTTCAACCTGCTACTCCTATTTCTTTATGTTCTGTTCCTGGATATGATGCAAGTTACCGTGTGGATAATCTTGTATCTGATGTTGGAGTGAAATGCACATCTGTTGCCATGGGTTCTCAAGAAGGTTTTACCTTGGCCGATTCAGCTATTGCAAACGCGGTCAAGAATGGAAATTGGGTTTTATTAAAAAATGTTCATTTAGCTACATCATGGTTAGGTCAACTTGAAAAGAAGTTGCATAGTATGAAAGCACATAGAAACTTTAGGCTTTTCCTCACCATGGAGACAAATCCTAAGGTATGGTTATGATGCCTTTTTATGGCAACCGAGATATTAATCATCTTTAACCAAATTGGTATATTATAATTACTTGTAGGTGCCAGTTAATTTGTTGCGCTTATCACGTGTACTTATGTTCGAGCCTCTACCTGGTATCAAGGCAAACCTTCAAGACTCACTCAAGAGTATCCCACACTCGCGGTACTCAAAAGGGCCAAGAGAGCGTGTCCGTCTTTACTTCATGCTTGCATGGTTGCATGCTATCGTGCAAGAACGTCTTCGTTACGCACCTCTCGGCTGGACCAAGATTTACGAGTTTAATGATTCGGATCAAGACTTTGCAATTAACACCATTGACGCGTGGTTGAATTCAGTTGCTCAAAACAGAGAAAACATTTCCCCAGATAAAATTCCCTGGGAGGCACTTCGTACATTAATCTGTGTTGCTGGTTATGGTGGCCGTATAGACAATGAATTTGACAAGCGTCTTCTCGAATGTTTCGTAAATGGTTTATTCTCACCCGCTGCTTATGAGTTTGAATTTCCGCTTGTTGATTCAGAAGACTCGCACAAACTAGTTATCCCTGATGGAACAAAAATGGAAGACTTTGTAGGTTGGGTTAATAGTCTCCCAGAACGCGAGCCGCCTATATGGCTAGGATTGCCAAGCAATGCAGAAAGAGTTTTAGCCACAAGCAAAGGTAGGTTGCTATTTCCGAAATGCTCTAATGAATTGTGTGCACCCATGAATATAATTCTCATCTTGTTAATATGTAGGTTATGCAATGCTTGTGAAAATCAGAAAAATGAAAAATACGGCTGATGATGATGTTGTTGAACTTTCTCAAGAGTCTGATTCTCAGACATCTACCCAACCTGCCTGGATGCGTGCATTACAGGCATCTGTTGAAGGATGGTTAGACGTACTTCCGGAAAAAATTCCAATGATGAGCCGTACTTCTGAAAGTATTAAAAATCCGTTATTCAGATTTTTCGATCGTGAAAACTCAATCGGACGTAGTCTCCTCAAAAAAATTCGTCAAGATCTCGAGGACATCCGCAATGTTTGCAAAGGTATTTACCTAAATTTGGATTTTTATCGCCAAAATCGAACTAAAAAATTTTTTTTTTGCAATTCAAAGGTGAACTCAAACAAACGAATCATTTGCGTATGCTATTGAATTGTCTTACAAAGGGTTTGTTGAGTTTTGTATTGTGTATAAATTGTTTTATTTCATTAACAATGCCTAAGTAATTTTATTATAATTTTAAAAATTAAGGTATTATACCGGATCACTGGCGAAAATATAAAGTCCTTAAAACTGTATCCATAAATCATTGGATTGCTGATTTCAGAAGCAGGCTTCAACAACTTGAAGGCATTACAAAATTACATGACTTTTTAGATTTACAAGTATGGATAGGTGGTCTTTTCATGCCCGAAGCATTCATCACAGCTACCCGTCAGGCAGTAGCACAAAAACATAAATGGTCTTTAGAAGAATTGCTATTAGAAATTTCTCTCAACAAGAGTGGAGATCCTGATTCTTTCGCATTAAGTGGTAATGGTCAAACGAGAGTTTATTGATTTCGATATGGAATGTGTTTAATAACAAAATCTAACGTGTATATATCTTCCCTTTATATTAACGTTTCTTAGGGCTTAAACTTGAAGGTATGTTTATCAAGTTTCCATTACTAACTTTTAACTAAATTTGATGCAATATTAATATTTGTTAACTCATGTAGGTGCTGTATGGGAAAACAATCATGTGAGTCTCTGCGGAGTTCCAACAACCAAATTAGATATTTCTCAAATTAAATGGGTTAGAAAGACGGAAGCTACTCCAGTTACTGAAACAACTATAAACCTTCCGGTTTATCTTAATGAAGATCGTTCTGATTTGCTCTTTATTGTTAATATTGAAGCAAAGGCTTCTGAAAAGGTTAAGATTGTGCAACGTGGAGTATCCATTGTCCTCTAAATAATTAAAGGATTATTTTTATTTGTTTAAGTTATAGCATTTATATTGTTACAATCATAGGATATATATATATTTAGTGAATCTTGACATTATATTATAAGAACTAGCAATGTACACTATTTTACTGACCAAAAGTTTATAATAAATAAAGTTGTGAACATTATAAATAATTTCGATCGCATTGTGAGCTTTATTGAATCGTATTTATGCAATTTAAATAAGAACGTAGCATTTCACAACTATCTTCAAAGAAGCACTTACAGTTATTATGCAAAAAGAATCGAATAATTTTTACTTAGAAGTAAATTTATAGCACATGTCATGCCATATATTAAATACTGTATATGTAACAGTAATAATAATATCCTGATCCGTTGGGAATTAGGGGAAACGAAGTTTCCGCTTATTCACATTCGGTCAGAGTATTACATATTAATTAATCCTTCCGTGATCTTGATATAGTGATCGGGGGATTAAATACGATATGTGAAACTCGCGTCAGAGGTGTTGATGCCACACCACCTAACCCTAATTAATCGTAGATCTGCATCGAAATGGTAATCTAAAAAGCGAATTTCACCCTTTTCGTATCCACACTAATAAAAATCGACTCGGGTTTATACATGCCGGACAAACGTTTGGGATTTGGGATTTTTCCATGGACAAACCTGGAAAAATGGGATTGTCCAATCATATCTAAAAATCCCATATGTCAAAACTGAACAAATCCCAATCCCAAGTCCCAAATCTTATATAGTATAT